TAACCTACAGCATAATTGCGTTAGGTTAAAGTAAATTGCTATTATAAAGCCTTTGAAAAGTTTCTATAACGGCCACTCAGGGGCAGAAGGCACTGTTTCTTGAAAAATGTCATTTTGCAAAGCTGTATTTCTCAGGCACCCGGAGGACTCCAGGAATGTTTTGGAAGGTGGAGCATGTACAAGTGTGCTGGAGAACGCAGATTCTGCTCTGCAAAACAGTACGGTGTTTTCCCCATGGTGCTCAGCAGTCCGGACCTCAGATTTCACCTAGGCCAATGCCTTTCTTCTTTTTTTTTTTTGGGTTTTTCTCCGGTACCAGGAACCGAACTCAAGACCTTGTGCTTGCCAGGCAGGCGCTTTGCTGCTGAGCTAAATCCCCAGCCCTGCCTTTCTTCTTGAATATGGATCTAGACATAAAGATGCCAGTGGAAGCCCCCAAGTCTTTCTCAGCTCAAAGTTGTGTTTTGTCTGGCTCGTGTGTGGTACATAAACAACTACTGCAAATGTTTAACATTTTTTCCATCTTCTCCAGGTCCTTTTGGGAGAAACCCCCAATGATCTAGCAACAGGGAACCCACACTTCTGTAAGGAAGAGATCCTCAAAGTGCAGTGCTCGGACCTGCAGCACTAGTGTCCCAGGGGAAGTCGTTAGAGATGCAAACACTCAGGCTCAATCCCAGGCTTGCTGGGGTTGGACTCAATATAGTTCTGTCCTGGCAAGCCTCTCCCATGGTTCTGATACACACTGAAGTGTGAACCTGGTTCTCCACAGCAACAATTGGTAGGAGCTGAACTGCTGAGAATGACCTGTGTGAACGGTTGCATTGCACAATTTCCCCAGTCCTGCCTATGTTACCTCTGGGTGTGCCAGCTCAGGTCCTGTGGAGATTCAGGCCTACAACCCTCAGGCTAGCCATGCTGCCTCTGAGAATCAGAGATTGCCGCTGTCTGTGTCTGATCCTGTCACAGGAGTCAGTCGATGTATGACCAAGTGATGCAGAAGCCATCAGCGCCCCATTGGTGGATGAACTCAAGACAGGGTGGACAGAGACATGGAGAGCTAAAAGCTTTTTCAGATTACTGGAAGCAGCAGAACTAGGGTCCATGCTGAGCTGATGGTGCAGACAGATGTGAGATTATGCTTAAGTGTGCATTTGGGTAGAGCCCGCAGGGGAGAAGGAGGGGCTGGAGTAAGATGTAAGTAATCTCGGCAGCTAGGCATGGTGGCGCATGCCTGTAACTCCAGCAGCAGGGAGGCTGAGGCATGAGGATCATAAGGACTTAAAGGCCAGCCTGGGCTAAGTAGAGAGACCTTACCTTAAAACATCAAAAAACAAACAAACAAACAACAACAAACAAATAAAAACAAGACAGTAACCATGGTAAACAGAGTCCCTCCTTTGAATGAGGTTGGTGATGGCACTGAGGAGAATTTTAAGGAAAATCTAGCCATGGAGGGAACCAGGAAGCAGGCGAGTAACTGCAGTGTGTCCCTGAAGTTTGTCTTCTCCAGGTTTTATCTCCACTCTCTTTCCTCAGATCAGATCATGAGGCAGCCATATTTTTCCAAGAGGTTATTTTTCTGTTTTCCTTTGTTTTCCTGTCCTTGGCTGATACTCTCAATCTTACCACAGGTGGAGGACTGCTGGGAGCCAAGGGCAGCAAAGTAACAGAAAGGATGGTGACATCCTTGTCGCTCTGCAGAGCAAGGGCACCCCAGGGTGGGGACAGCAGTCTGGGGGTTCCAAGTGGTAATGAACACAATGTGCCCATTGGATCTCGGGGCAGCAGGGATGCAGGGAGAACTGGGTGACTCAGAGGGCGAAGTGAAACCAACACCTATTTCTCAGATGCTGTGGAGGAAGGAACCTCTAGAGAAAGCAACAGAGGCTGAATGTTAGGGTACAGAAGGGCAGGCGAGTCAGGCACTGTAACAAAAGTATGATTACCATTCCATTGCAAAAAATACCACATTCTCGGTCCAATCACAGAGAGAGAAGCTGAAAACCAGTCTCCCCCCTATGTCTTTCTCGTAAGGGTCTCACTGGTTATAAGGAATAAATTAAAAATTCAGCTAGATGTGGTGGTACACAGCCGCTGGCTCAGCACTCCAGGGACTGAGGTGGGAGGATCTCAGGTTCAAGGCCAGCCTGGGCTACATAGAGTTCAAACCAGGCCTGGATTATACAATGAGATCTTGCCTCAAAAAGCGAAAACAGAACCAAAAAGAACATTCAATTTCAAGAGATTTAGGTAAGGATGAAAAAGCATGCAATTCTGCCATCTTTAGGAAAGTTGCGGGTGTATTTTAAATTTCTAATTGACCCAAGAGATTTCTTAGAAATCTGTGATATTACTGTAATTAAGCGACTTCCTCCAGGTTTTTGCCTTCTCTGACCAGCCCATAAGTAATTTCCTTCCCCCACCACACTCCCCGTCCTCCTATTTTATTCCTCCCTGCAGATCTCTGTCTGAGATATGATGTGCTCACAATAATTTAATTGTCCCTTATCTGTTTAGTTCTTCTAAACTGCTGACTCAGAGGGAAGGACTCTGCTTACTCTGCAGACTTAAAACTGGAATTGTGGCTGGTGCAGACAAGGTAGCTCTCCAACAACTGTGTGTTGAGTGAATGAATCAATGAATGAGCTGGAATCCATTTGTAAACAATCTCAATCCAGACACACCAGGCAAAGAAGCTCAGACTTTTGTGGGGCACCCAATATAATCAGAGAAGCTGTCTCTCCTCTGGTGCTTGTACTATACAAGATACCATATACACTGGCTCCAGAGATTAAACAAGAAGTTTTGATGTTCTGAGACTGTATCAACAATTGGAAGAAGAGAAAATAAAATTTAAGAGTGAAATGGTGTTTGCAACTCTCTGGCTGAGCAATTTCAGTGAGGGAAAAATACCCTACAGAATATTATAGCCAGAAAAGGCGAAATATGCTCCATAACATCATTAATTATACCAGGAACATCAAGCAGCTGCTGGAAAAAATCTTCATAGATGCATTCCTGAAGGGGAATATTACAGGGCTCAGGAAGCAAAAACCCTAAGGAAAATTAACAGGCAGAGGAAATTGAATGTATTTTAAACATAACTGCACAAAGATTTAATGCAATTTAAGATATGCAGATTGGCATGAAATAGAAAATCTACACTCACGCTTAGTGAAAATCTTCCTGAAAGTCACTGTCATGTATTGAATGTTTTAACTTGAGATTTACTGAATTTCATGAGATGGTCATTTTTGAAAGGGATGATCACTGTATCTGAGGAACGTAATTTTAAAAGTATTTTGCAACTGTTTTTCCTACATTCATCCATTCACCAAACTACCCATCCATAAAAGCAGGTGAACAAGGGGACACAAAAATAAGAATTATTGAGGGACAAGTATAATGTTGTCACCCACACAAAGTTTCATGGAACCAGAGTCTCTCCAAGTACTAATTATACTATAAAGGCAAATGCGTAACTTGGTTGTTAAAGAGAGAAAATAGGTACAGTTTTAACACAGTTGGAAAGAGTAGTTTCTAAACATCTGAGAGAATTAAAACTTGTTGGCAATTTGGTCATTCAATTGTAAGAATTGAAGTAGATGTTATGTAAATATTACAAATAAAGCCCTGCCAATAATCACTAATGAATTAGAAGTCCAGCTGGCATATTCAACACAGCTCACGTGATTGTCAGACCACTGAAGACAAGAAAATCACAGAACCCAACACACTGGCCTGAAGTGACCTTGTCACTGTAATCCATGACATGAGCTGCTCTCAGAGGTACACACAAGATATGCAGACTTCAAAGCATTCTTGGATATATAGCCTTTTTTTTTTTTTTTTTTCCTTTTTTGAGACAGGGTCTTGCTATATAATTCAGGTTGGCCTTGAGCTCACTTTGTAGCCCAGGTTGGTCTCAAACTAACAACAATCCTCCTGTCTCAACCTCCTGAGCCCTGGGATTACAGGCATGCACCAACATGCTCAGCTTGGCTACATAGTCTTAACTCTTGGAGGAAATCTTAGGAAGGGCAAGAGCCATCATTAATACTCTACAAAGCATAAACCTGGAGAAAGTTCTTTTTTAAATATGCTCACCTCAGTTTTTTTTCTTCTAAAGTACAATTGGACAATTGTAGAGAAAGCATCATGACTGAGTCCAGGCATGCTAGAAATTCACTGCTTCTTGTTCTCTGCAGTGTACTTGTCTTCTAGTTTTTTCTTTATTTTAAAGAGTAAAAGAAGGATAACATAATAATGGGGGGGCTTACCAAATTACAGACAAAGTGGTAGGAAATTATCAATGGTTATTGTTTTACATATTGTTATCTACAAGATAGTTTCTCAGGAAAACAAATGGACAAATAAGAGTGAGTTACAGACAAAAGAGGTAGGAGATTATCAATAGTTGTTATCTTCTAGTTTTTTCTGTATGCCTGTAAAAGGCCCACTGTCTTCATAGAATATCAACTCCTGAGGGAATAAACCAAATCTAATTCATCTTTCTGATCCATAACTGAATAAATATAATTTACTATTATTTAAGATTTTTTTCACATATTAATTAAATAACTACTATAGCTGTGTGCTATGAGGGAAAATGAATTTATAAAGTTGCTGACATTTTCTGCCTTCAGCAAGAGAGTTGAAGAGGAGATGGGGTGAAAGTGGCACAAGATTAAGGCTAAGAGGAAATAAATTAGGACAGCATGTTTGGGTGAAATGGTGTGTGGTTTTATCTACCTTTTGTTCTGCGAGAGAATTATATCACATTCCTTATTCCTCATGGGAAAAAACTCCATACTTCAAAGTAGATGCTATTACTTAGAAATGTTTGAATGACACTTTTGGTGGCAACTGAATTATTTTTAGGTGGAATATAACACAAGTGAAATATGACAAAAATTCAAAGTCTTTCACAGGTGTTAGGACAGTATCACAAGAATTCAGACGGAGGTGAGAGTATCAGAAGTTTCCAGCCACCATACCTTGGCCACTTCTTCTTGGAAAGCCACGAGATTCAGGTGGGAGATGTTAACTAGGTCAAGCCCGTACACCACCGTTATCATGCGATGCTCCAGGCGCCCGATGTTCCCCACATCCAGAAGTTCACGTAATTTGGGGTCCTGAATAACAAATTGAAAAAATTAGTTTACAACTAAGGATTTCAACACAGCAGCATAACTTCAAATGAGCTAGAGTTCGAATGACTTCGAAACAAAGTTGCCTTTTACTCTTAATAGAGGATGGTATGGGTTGAAGTCCTTTTCCCCGTGGTGGCCTAGAGAGGGAAGAAAGCAAGTCGCCCCATGGTTGTGGAGAAAGAATTTCTAGCTCAAGACCTATGCATTTAAGTAAAATGATGTTTCTGTTATATTGCTGGTTGGTTGCACATTTTTATGTGCTATAATTCCCCACTGATTTCCTCTGATCATCCCATGAATTACATATTGAAATGAAAAACCTCTCTCTTGTTCCTGGATGCATGGATAGATTATGACACAGAAAGTATTTCTTGTGGGATTGCGTCTACTTCAGTTTTGCTTTCAAAGGCTCACCAGAGGCCTGTGTTTAAAAGACTTCATCACCAGGTTGGCACTGGATGGGAGCACTTTTTAAGAGGTGGGCCTGATGGGAGGTCTTCTGGCCATTGTGCTCTTGAAAGAGATACTGGATGCTGGCCTTTTCTTTTTTTGTGGCGTTTTTGCTTGCGGGCAGGCCATGTAAATGAATTTGAAGTGTCACACACTCCCGCTGTGACATGCTCCCTCTACCACCAGCCAAACAGAGGCCTGAAATCCATAGGTCCACCCCGTTATATACTGACACCTCCAAGTGATGAGCCAAAGTAAAATGTGTCTCTTTTTAAATTTAGTATCTCAGGAATTAGAGTGATGGAAAGTTGGGTAACATAACACCATGTAGGGCTGGGGTGGAAACATCGCAGAAGCTGCCAGTGTGGACCATGTCCAACATTCAGAATAGACATAAAAAGATAGGGTGTTGGGGTGACTGAAATGACAGCACCTGCCTTGAGTACATTAACTTAAATTCTATCCTCAGGACCTAGTGGGATTTGGGCGTAGGGAACTTCTTCCACCATTTCAAAGTCAGTTGCGTTCTTTGGAACATCAAAAGTGAGAATCCCTTGGAGATACAGACTTTCTGGGAAAGGGAAGTTTCCAAACATTCAGAACTCAAAATAAAACCTAAAATAGGGCTTAGTCAACTTGGCTGAGATTATTTTTCCCCCTGTAGGACAGGCCCTGAAGGACTTCTCAGTCCATGCAGAAAATCAGCATCAAATCAATCACTTGGCGAGTTTGCTGCCAGCTTTTGAACAAGGAATAAGCTTGCGTTCTTATTTATTTAGTTAAATCCTGGGCCAACAGGACCTGATTACTGAGGCTGGTTATTCTGACCTCCCTTCTGAGGTTTTTATACACACCATCATTGCAAAGAAAGAGCAGAATTTTCAAAACACCAAGAAAAAACAAACAAAATCTTTCCAGCTGGGTTACTTTATTTAGAACCATTAATTCTCTCTTTAGTTAATAAAACTTTCTCTTCTATTTGGCTGCATGAAGAGGAACATTGTCAGGTGAGTTATAAAGAGAAAAAAACCTCACTTCCAAGCTTTACCCAATATAACTGAAGCCCAAATTCCACGGACAAGAGCTGATTAAGTACACCAGGCCTCCTGAAAGATCAACAGCTACCACCAAAGCCTCAATTTCATGACCCAGAAGAAAAAAAAAGATACATTACAAAATTTTATTAAATAAACAACAGTGGTGAAAAACCATATTTTTATCTTTCTAACATTAATGAAAGATAAAGAAGAATAGACATTTTGTGAAGGCTAAATAAACATGACACTAGGTGTTCTGTGAGATGATGAATTGCGTCCCAGTTTTTGAACACAGCTGAGGCAGCGTTAGAGAGAAACTATATTGATCAAACATGCTTGGAAGACAAAGTCACCATTTAAGAATGTGTAATTAGGGGGCTGGGGATTTAGCTCAGGGGCAAAAGCGCCTGCCTGGCATCCGCGAGGTCGTGAGTTCAGTTCCTGGTACTGGAGAAAAACCAAAAAAAAAAAAAAGAATGTGTAATTATAGATAAGTTTTAAATCAGTGATTACAGAGTCAGGCATTATTTTTTTTTTACTTGTACAACATCCAAAGGGAAATATCTGGGAATGAACTGGCTTTATGTTTTTGATACTTTTTCTTTCAGTGAGCATCATAAAACTCACCCTGTTGGAGTTTTCAGTCCCAAGTTATGCTATTTACTAATTTCCATGTCCATTCAAAATGCTTTTGTTCACTTATTAAACAGGTAATTTGTTAAAGAGTTCTGCCTCTCAGGGAGGAGGTTAGGTGATCAGAGGGTCACTTGAATTATACTGAGATACAGGCATCACAGGGAAGTAGAGACCATCCAGAGGAGGTGCCCAGAGTAGAAAATAATTCTGGAAAAGAGCTCTTGGCATTTCCACTCACCTAAGAATGTTACTATTAGACACAGTCAACAAGAATTTATAAACTATTTTGAGGTGATGTCTCAGATAGGGTGGTCAAAGCAGGCTGGTTAAAAAAGATGATGATTGAATTTGAGGATAGATATTTGAACCTCCTAGATTTTATTCATTCTTTCAGGTTCTTATACTAGTGAGACAATACGGTGTTTACACATGCAGGTCTGATTTATTTCACTTATGAATATGATCTCTATTTGTGACCATGTACCTGTAAAAGCCCTGAGTTTATCTTTCTTTATAGCTGAGTAATATTCACTTATATAAAAGTACCACAATGTTTTTATCCATTCCTTAGTGAATGGGCATTTGGGTTGCTTCCATGATTTAGCTATTACAAATCGTGCTGCTATGAACATGGGTGCACATATATTGCTGTGATATGATGTTTTCAGTTCTTCTGGGAAAAGAACTGAATAGGTTGAATGGGACCTCTATTCCTAGTTTACTGAGGAATCTCCAAACTGATTGCAACAGAGGTTTCACCAGTCTACACTCTCACCAGCAGTGGAGAAGTGTTCCTTTTTCTCCACAGCCTCGCCAGAATTTGTTATTGGTTGATTTCTTGATGATAGCCATTCTTACTGTGGTGAGATGAAATCTCATTGTGGTTTTAATTTGCATTTCTTGAATGACTAATGATGTTGAACATTTTCTCATGTATTTGTTTGCCATTTGTATTTCTTTATCTGAGAAGTGTGTATTCATCTCAGATGCCCATTTTTGTATTTGGTCTTTGAATTTGGGGGGGTGATGTTTTTTAAATCTTTATATGTTCAAGATAGAAGTCTTTTGCCTGAGGGACAGTTGACTAAAATTTTTCCCAATTTATGGGTTTTCCTTTTACTCTGCTGGTGATTTCTTTAGATACACAAAAACTTTTCAGAAAGATAAGACCCTAGTTGTTGATTCTTTGAAGTATTTCCCCTGCAGTTCATTCTTGTTCATGAACTCTCTGCCTACCCTTATGTCTTCAACATTTTTACCTGCTTTCTCTTCTAGCAGATTTAGTGTTTCTGTTTTAATATTGAGATCTGTGATCCATTTTGTTTTTTTGTTTTGTTTTATTTTTGGTACTGGCAATTGAACTCAGGATCTCGTGCTTGCCAGGCAGGCATAGTTCTACTGAGTTATATACTCCTGGCCCCTGTGATCCATTTTGACTTGAGTTTGGTGCATGGTGATAGACATGGGTCTATTTTCAGTTTTCGGCATGTGGCGAGCCAGTGAGGTATAATAGATATTGTGAAATGAAAGGAAATTGCTCAAAAAGAAAGAACTGGGATGAGGGAAAAGACAAAAGAAAGAAGGGGAAATTATATATGTATACACAGGACAGCCAGCATAGTTGTACTACTGACTGCTATGGCTTTATTTAAAGGAACAGTTAATGTTGAATTGTTTGATCAATCTTACATGTCTTTATTTGTTTACCTGAGTAACCAATTTGGAGATATCAATATAATCAATATAACACAACAACCATTGTTAATTTCCTATCACCTTGTCTGAAATTCTGTATTGCTTGTATTGTTTTTGCATTATTTTGTAAATGTATGTGTGTTTGTTAATATGTTTTCTTTCCTGTATTTTTAAAATTAAAACAGGGTAAGTATTTGAGGGTTTATTATATAAACTTTTACACCTGGGAAGGTTAAAATTTACAACATAAAGTTGTAAAAGAACTATTGAGCATTAGCTGGAGGAACATTGTTAATTTCCTATCACCTTGTCTGAAGTTCTGTATTGCTAGTATTGTTTTTGTGTTATTTTGTAAATGTATGTGTGTTTGTTAATATGTTTTTGTTCTTGTATCTTTAAAATAAAAAAGGATAGATATTTGAGAATTTATTATATAAAGTTTTACACCTGGGATGGTTAAAATTTACAACATAAAGTTGTAAAAAGAATTATTGAGCATTAGCTGGAGGAACAGATTTGAGAAATGTTTTCTTGGGAGAAACCACATTTTTCAATCACATAAGTCTTAGGTAAGCAGAGAAATAATGACAGTATTAAGCAAGCAAGTTCTTTACTACTGTTGCTTTTGGTTCTGCAGCACATGGTTTTAAACTATATTTTACTTTCTTTACCACTGCTGGTCATTTCGTCCATGTTTAACTTGTAGCTTTTCTTCATTTCTTTTATTTTTACTAACAACAAACTCAGTTATGTTAAACTTTTCATTTGAGAAAAGATTTTACTTCTCTTTCTACTCATTCCACAGATTTTCAAGTTTTAAAGGTGGCTCATCTTTGGGCATATTGATATGTGAGGGGTATACTGAGAAAGCTACCCTGCTCTTAAAGTAGCGAAGGTGATCCAGACAAAGAGAATTATCTGGAAAGATGAGGTATAAAGGCAATGAGTTTTTGGAGAACCTTACTCATGGAAAGAGCTGAACAAACACAGATGTCTAAAACTTCATTATTTCTGGAGTGCAGACTTCTCAGGTCTGAGAAAATGAGGGGCTGTGTTCCAGAAAAACAAACAGGAACACACACAAACACATATAGACACATAAACTCAAAACAGCAACAACGTAAAAGCACATAAACAACTTATCCGCAAATTACCCTGTTCCCC